AGATGAATATTTCAAATTCACTTTTGCTTTAAGACTTCTATAAAGCAACTTCCTTTTGATTTTAATAAAGGTTTTAAATCGATCCCTTAATGATTTATAAATTGTCCTTTTAATATAAGTGTTCCTGATGCTTCTAATTAAGGATTCTAACATATTCTATGTATTGTACGATCAGAATTAACTAAGTAATAATTAATAAGAAATACTATTTGGCAATAAGGAGCTATTCTGAAGTGGTATTTTAAACTAGGTAAGCAGAACTTTGTAGCTATTATTTGATTGGAGTATTTCGTTTGATGTTATTACATTCCAGAGACGAATAGACTCATCCCAACTATCAGAAGCTAATCTATTTCCATCAGGTGAGAAATTGACAGAATAAACTTCCTTTGAATGACCATCTAATTTGGCTTTGTATTATCCTGTCTTAACATCCCATTAACGGATAGACATATCATAACTACAAGATGCTAATGTAGTACCATCAGGAGAGAAATTGACTGATAGAATTCCATATGAATGACCATCTAATTTGGCTTTTTATTATCCTGTCTTAACATCCCATAAACGGATAGAGTAATCTGCACTACCAGATGCTAATGTAGTACCATCAGGAGAGAAATTGACTGAATTAACAGAACTAGAATGACCATCTAATTTGGCTTTTTATTATCCTGTCTTAACATCCCATAAACGGATAGAGTTATCATAACTACCAGATGCTAATGTAGTACCATCAGGAGAGAAATTGACTGAATTAACACAACTAGAATGGCCATCTAATTTATTTAACTCATGTATTTTTATATTCTTCCATTTACAATTGAACAGTTGAGCTTAATTCAAGTTCATTCCACTTATATCCACATTATCAAATTCTGATCCATTGAAATTACACCTTACAAAATTTCCACCTACTAATGAAGTATCTTTAATCCTCACACCCTCAAAGCTTTATTCTCTCAAATCCACCTTCATTTCGACCAATAAATTAAAGCAATTCGATCCACATTATATAAATCTCTCATCAATTGCTGTCAAATGGACTAAGAATTTCAAAAATTATAGATCTCCTTCTTTTAACCAATCTTTTTAATCAACTCCTTTCTAATTTATTCACATTCCTCTTTTGAGTAATTCTGTTTATAAAAGTCAAGTTCACTTATATTTTTGATAAGATCAAGAATATACTTCAACTAAGATTATTGTTTATTGCTCTGACTACATAGATATTCTAGGGAATCTGTTATTTTGTCTTACCTGAGCTTTTCCAATATCTCATTAAGATATGACTCATCTGAGATATTTGTAATCTAAGTCAATATTTCAAACATATCTTGCTTTCTGACATAAGCTTGTATAATTTCTTGTTCTTCCTCTTTTACTTGTTACTCTTATGTTTCTAATTTCTTATGTTGTTGAATCTAATTCACTTCATGAATGATAATGTCTTGCAAGTGAAGTTGTACTGTGAAAGGGTTAGTTTTCAGTGGTTGTTCATGAATTTATGAGTGCATAATTTGAAGCGGTTACAAGTGAAGCAAGTCTTCAAAAGAAGCAATGGCATCATCAATTTTAATGTAGGATTTCTTCATATTTATAAGTCAATTTTTTTTACTTCTAGCTCTTGATCCAAACCTTGAAGACAGATGTTGACTTACTCTTGCAATCCTGAGTGTCCTTGCATATTTGTAAATAAGAATATAAATATTGAAATGATTATATTTTCTATTACTTTTTGCAAAATAATTCCTAAACTATTTTCATCATAAAATGGTGATTGCTTAGAATATCAAGCATCAACTAATTTAAACGATAGGTATATTTGATTTCAATGCATTCCTACGAATTATGTATCGACAATTTTGATAAAAAAAATCAAATGTCAAAATTTGTAAATAATAACTACCGAAAAAAGAAATAAGTCTCTCATATCGGAAATATCAGTAGGAGTCAGGAAAACCTACAATTGAGTATCTTGATGCATAGCAGCTTAGTGTTTGAGCAAGGCAAAAAAGGGCAAAATTTAGGGATCATTCACATATGCGAATGAATGCAATTAGATGAGTGAAATAGTGCGGCTTTAATTCATAGGCCTCATAGCATCAAACAGAGGTGTGATACATCAATAGATGACCCGCCATGACCGCCTACCTCCCGACCCTAATTATGCCTAAGCAAAACGACCCTATCGTTGAAACTAGCACGAATCTAATTGCTGACTTATGGCAGAGGTACCAAAAAATGCTCTTGTAAGCCTCAAGCCAATTTAAGGTCCATCAACCATTCTCTATCAACTCCCATGCTTTATATCTTTCTATCTTTCTTCCTCCCTTATCATATTGTACTTAGCATTTTGAACCAAATCCAATAATGTGTCTAAATCATTACCAAATAAGTAGCCCCCGCGGCGGGGGTGTATCATAATTATTATTAGATAATGATCAATCTTAATGTTTTTACTGTTGAATTAGGTTTTCTAAAATCAAGCTTCCTCTTTATTAAAATAATGTTCTCAAGTCTATGCCTTATGGATTATGAAATTGTCCTTGTAAAATTAAAGCACCTTATGATTAGAAGATGAGTTATTGTGATATTAGAAGAATGGAAATGTTAGAATTAACTAAAATAATAGTAAATAAAAAATGAATACCATTATCTGAAAGAACATTATTTTTAATTATGGAAGGTTAAAATTAAGCTAGAATATTTTGATAACGATTATCTGAGGTTGAGATTTATTATCCTGTCTTAACATCCCATAAACGGATAGACTTATCATAACTACCAGATGTTAATGTAGTACCATCAGGAGAAAAATTGACTGAATAAACATAACTAGAATGACCATCTAATTTGGCTTTTTATTATCCTGTCTTAACATCCCATAAACGGATAGACTTATCATAACTACCAGATGC